AAAGCTCATTTTTACAAAAAAAAAAAAGAAGCTCATTTTTACAAGAAAAAATACAAAGCCCAAACTGGTTTCTTTGTTATGACCGCCAAAACTAATATGCGATAAAATTTGCCCAACGTGCATGTGTCATATAAAAAAAGAATTGTTTTTAGGGTTGTTTTTATCAGTTGCCTCCTCGTAAAATAAAAACCCTTATTTTCGAAGGATCTACTATTAAGGATAAAAATGTAATTACACCTTCAAGGGATAATACTTAGAGGCTAAGGAATGTTTAGTTTGTTAATTTAGTTACACTTTCTGTTAGTTGTAATGACAACTGTGATGGTTGTTATAGTTGTGTATAAATACTCATAGTGTAACAGTTATAATTTTAATTAATGAGAATATTTCTCTTAATATGGTATCACTCGCCCTCAGTCTCACGACGTCTTCTCTTCGATCCTATTTTCTTGCTTCTCTCTGCACCGCTTCATCTTCTTCGATCCATTGATCGTGTTCTTGATCTTGATCGTGCTTTGTTCTTCTCGATCGTGATTTCTTTCTCAATCCAGCTATGGTGACTGCTACATCTTCTTCCTTCGAGTTCACCGATCCACATCCTAACCCTAATTCTGCGATTTCTTCCTCCATTACAATCCAAAATATTGGATCTATGGTTCCGATCAAGCTTACCACCACAAATTACCTGACCTGAAGTGCCTTATTTGCTCCAATTCTTCGTCGCTACAATCTTACCGGTCTTATTGATGGATCCATGGCGGCGCCGCCCAAATATCTCCTTGATTCTTCTGGCAATCGCACCGCGACTCTCAATCCTGCTTACGTTACTTGGTTTGAGAATGATCAGAACATTCTCATCTGGATCAATTCCACTCTGTCTGAATCTTTGATTCCTTACACAGTTGGCGTCACTTCTGCTCGCGAACTTTGGGCGAAATTGGAATCGCGTCTCGCCACTGCATCTCAGTCTCACATCCATGAGCTTCGTTCTCGTCTTCGCAGTCTTGTTAAAGGTGATTTGACTGCTGCTCAATATCTCCAGCAAATTGAAGAAATTGCCGATGCCCTAGCAAGTGCTGGTGCTCCTGTTGAAGATTCCGATCTCATCTCAGTCACACTTCATGGCTTACCTCCTGAATTTGACTCCTTTGTGGATGCTATTCAGTTTCGTCTTGGTTCCACGACTATTGATGAATTACACGGATTACTTCTCAGTAAGGAGATTCAACTCAACAATCGGAAGAAATCTGTCTCAACTGCACCATTTCAGGCATATAATTCCTCGGCTGGTATTCTTCCCTTGCCTGCTCCCTCTATCTCTCAAGCATTTACTGCTCAGCATCCTTCTCAGTTCTCCAATCAAGGTCGCAATGTGGATCGCAATTATTCGGGCCCAAATCGGGGCAATTTTCAGAATCGTGGAAATTCCAGATTCAACAATGGCAGAAATACCTACTCTCGTCCTAATCAGCGATTCAATCGTGGAGCTCGCAATAACTACTCTTCCACTCGAAAACTTTTCTGTCAGATTTGTCGACAACCAGACCATGAGGCTTGTGATTGTCCTCATCGCATAGATCAAAACTACAATGGCAAATCTTCTCATTCTGCAATGGTTGCTGGTACCTCTCCTTCTCCTCCTACCTGGATTGTTGACTCTGGTGCTAGTTCTCATATGACAAACTCGTATGCCAACCTTCAGAATCCAGAAGCCTACACTGGTCCTGAGCAAGTGTATATTGGAGATGGCAAAGGTTTACCTATTCTCCATTCTGGCTCATCCTCTTTGCATACTTCTACTAATTCTTTTGCTTTAAAGCATGTCTTACATGTTCCTGCTTTAAAGCACAATCTTCTTTCTGCTAATCAATTTCTTCTTGACAATTCTTGTTCTATGCATCTTTATCCTTTTCACTTCACTGTGAAAGATCTTTCTTCGGGGAGAATGCTTTTTAAAGGACCAGTTCAACATGGCTTCTATCCTTTTCACTCATCCTTCTCTCCTGCGAATTCTCATCAAGCTTTAGCTGCCTCTGTCAAAGCTCCAAAGCATCTTTGGCATCAAGACTGGGCCATCCTTCTGTAAAGATCATAAATAAGTTGGTTTCTCAATCCTGTATTTCTGTTCTTGATGCTTCAAATAAAGATTTTGCTCCGATTGTGTACTAGGAAAATGTTCTAAACTTCCTTTTTCTAGTACTACTTGTACAACCCGAAAGCCTTTAGAGCTTATCCATACGGATGTTTGGGGACCCTCACCCATACTGTCTCATCATGGTTTTCGGTATTATGTCATTTTCATAGATGACTATACCAGATATTGTTGGTTCTATCCTTTAAAGTGTAAATCTGATGTCCTCTCCATCTTTATGCAATGGAAATCACTTGTTGAGAATTCTCTGTGTACAAACATTATTACATTACGTTCAGATTCTGGTGGTGAATTTGTTAGCACTGCATTCTCTCAGTTCTTAGCTCGCCATGGCATTCATCATCAGCTCACTTGTCCTCATACCCCCGAGCAAAATGGGTGTGCCGAACGTAAGCATCGGCATATTGTTGAGACCTCTCGAACTCTCTTGGCAGCATCAAAAGTGCCTCATGCTTATTGGGTTGAGGCTTTTGCTACCTCTGTTTATCTCATCAATCGGCTACCCACAATATCTCGATCCTCTCCTTGGCAGTCTCTTTACCAGAAAGAACCTGACTATAAATCTCTCAAGGTTTTTGGTTGTCGTTGTTTCCCTTGGTTGAAACCATACACATCCTCCAAACTTGATCCTAGAAGCACACCCTGTGTCTTCCTGGGTTATAGCTTAAATCACAAGGGTTATCTATGTCTACATCCATCTACTAACCGGTTGTATATTTCAAGGCATGTTATCTTTGATGAGTCCACTTTTCCCTTTCATACCTTACATTCTTCTTCATCCCAACCTGTCTCCTCCTCTCCCTTATCCCCATCCTCTATTCCCTCATCACTCACATTTCATTCTATCTCTACCCCACCTACACCCTCTGTCCCTTCTCCAATCCAGGTTCCCACCTTTGCAGAATCTTCAAATCTGCTCCAACCATCTGCAGCTTCCCCCAATCCCTGCTCTCAGCCTATATTACCTATCAACACCCACCAAATGCAAACTCGATCAAAATCTGGCATATTCAAACCCAAAGCCCTAGCTGCAACCAAACACCCTATTCCTTCCCATCTTGTAGTTGATTATGTTCCTTCAACCTACCTACAAGCTTCTAAACACTCTCATTGGCGTAAGGCAATGCAAGAGGAGTTCAATGCCCTTGCCTCTACTGGTACATGGTCACTTGTACCCCCTTCTTCCTCTCATAATCTTGTGGGATGTAAGTGGGTGTTTCGGATTAAACGGAAACCCGATGGTTCTATTGACAGGTACAAAGCCCGTTTGGTTGCTAAGGGTTTTCACCAACAAGAGGGTCTTGACTACACTGAAACTTTCAGTCCCGTGGCCAAACCAGTGACTATTCGTCTCCTGCTCACTCATGCTGCTCAGTTTGATTGGTTCCTCAATCAATTAGATGTCAGCAATGCCTTTCTCCATGGCACCCTTACTGAATCAGTGTTTATGCAACAGCCCCCTGGCTTTGAAGATCCAACCAACCCGCATCATGTTTGTCATCTTCACAGATCCCTTTATGGTTTGAAACAGGCTACTCGAGCCTGGTATGACAAGCTTCATCATGCTCTGCACTCTCTTGGTTTTAAAGGCTCCCAAAGTGATCATTCTCTGTTTATAAAGAGTTCTCCTACTCCGGTATTCATCCTCGTCTATGTCGATGACATCTTAGTCACCGGACCCTCTTCTGCAGCTTGTCAACATGTCATCACTCAACTCAGTGATCTGTTTCCCATCAAGGATCTTGGTGCTCTTCATTACTTTCTTGGTATTGAAGTTAAACGATCATCCTCTGGTCTTTTCATCTCTCAAACCAAGTATATTTTGGATCTATTGGCAAAAGCAAAAATGGAAGGTGCCAAGCCCTGCAGCACCCCTCTCAGTACCACCAAGCTGGATCACTTGTCTCCACTGCTCGATAATGCTTCTGAATATCGATCTCTTGTTGGAGCTCTTTAGTACTTGACTTGGACTCGACCTGATCTTAGTTTTGCTGTGAATTTGGTATGTCAGTTTATGCATAGTCCCCGCCTTTCCCATCTGCAAGCAGTAAAACGTATTCTCCGCTATCTTAAAGGTTCTCTTGATCTTGGATTATGGTTCTCCAAGTCCTCTCAAGTTCCATCTATTCAAGCCTTTTCCGATGTCGATTGGGCGGGCTGTTCCTTGGACAGAAGATCTACAGGTGGCTACTGTGTCTATTTTGGCAACTCTCTCATTAGTTGGAGTGCCAAGAAGCAACCTACTGTTGCTCGTTCCTCCACTGAAGCGGAATATCGATCTCTTGCAAATACGGCTGCAGAAATCACATGGATATGTAAACTGCTTGCTGACCTCTCTTATTCTCTGCCTCATTCTCCCACGATCTGGTGTGACAATCTCTCTGCCATTTCCTTAGCGAAAAATCCTATTTTTCATGCTCGAACAAAGCATGTCGAGCTTGATTACCATTATATTCGTGAAAAGGTTCTAGCCAATCAAATTTCTGTGCAGTTTATTTGTACCCAGGATCAGGTGGCAGATATTTGCACCAAATCTCTGTCACAACCTCGGTTCATCCTTCTTCGTGACAAACTCCAACTGCGATTACCCCAGTTTCGTTTGTGGGGGGATATTAAGGATAAAAATGTAATTACACCTTCAAGGGATAATACTTAGAGGCTAAGGAATGTTTAGTTTGTTAGTTTAGTTACACTTTCTGTTAGTTGTAATGACAACTGTGATGGTTGTTATAGTTGTGTATAAATACTCATAGTGTAACAGTTATAATTTTAATTAATGAGAATATTTCTCTTAATATCTACTACGGATTTGAATTCTAGAACCCCAAAGTTTTCTGATTGAGAAAGTATGGAAATTAGTGAGCCGGTGGCTAACAAGTACTCCGACTTCGAGCTCTTTTACTTGAGGTTGATGAGTGTACTGACGGAGGAGTTTGCAGATGATCGAAGCAATCGAGAACGCTTGGTTATTGCAGTCCATGCAATGCTCTTAGAGGCCGGTTTTGTTGTATTCGATCCGATTTCAGGAACGCAGTCGAGTGATCGATTTCATCTCTTGAACAAATGGCCAGCGCTGGATCATCGGACGATGTGGGTGCCTTATACTTTGCCTCATATTTTGCATGATATTAAAAGAGAAAGTATTAACAATTCTTACGTGATCCAAGCAGTAAGAGGGATAGCGCTGAGGTTTCAGAGTAAGAGGGATACCGGTCTGCCACTTACCGGCCTCAACGCCATCTATGTTTGCATGAGGAAAGGTTTGGTAGCACGGTTGAATTTTTTTGGGAAAACAAGAATGTGGGTCTTCAAGGGAGGGGTTTGTATCGGTCTGTGGAAAATTTGCTCTTCGGGTTTTGGAAGATTGTCAAGGATGAGATTGTACTGCCTTTTCAGATTGAGCTAGGCAGAAATCCTGGTTTTCCGATTGTATTGCCTTTTCCGATTGAGTTTGGGCAAAAGCCGGGTTCAGCGTCTCCAACGGGGATTATGGGTCTTCCATCGGAGCTCAAAATGAAGGTTTTGGAGTCACTGCCTGGTGTTGACATTGTCAAACTAGCATGCGTTTGTAAGGGGATGAAAAATATGGTTAATGATGTTATTGATGAGTTATTATGGAGGGATAAGTATTATGAGGAGATTGAGAGGGGGGTTGAGAGTCCAGCGAAAAGAAGACGAGGACAACGAGGAGAGGTGATCGTTGAATGGAAATTATTATTTGTTAGAATTTGGAAGAGTAAGGCTAAATGGAAGCAGCTGGAGAAACAAAGGCAGGTAGCACCGTCACCGTTCAGGTGCATGCAGTACCGATCAGCTAAACGAAACCAAAGGTCATCTGCTTAGTGCTTACTAATTTTTAAGGAGTAGGATTCTCTCCATTCTTTTTTTTCTCTTTCCTTTCCTCCCCTTTTATTTGAACGGTCATGGTTAAGTCACGTCAACATCTTATATTAATTTTTTTTTATAGAAAGAGAAAGATAAAATAGAAAAGGTAAGAGGAGAAAATGAAAGGAAATAAAAAGAGAAAGGAAGAAAAACCTAATCTAATTTTTAATTGCATGGAACCTTGGTGTTGCAGTAGTGTTAGAAAAGATATGTAATGTAAGCCTTACGTTAGAAGTTACTATTTGTGTGTAATAATTGGTTCTATTTTGTTTCTGTTTTTTTTTTTTAGCATAACTTGTAGTTATTTGTAGTGGAGATGATTTTCTTTAGCTTTTCACGCACTTTTTTTTAACACTTTTAGTAATCAGATTGAACAAGTCAAACAAAAATAGTAATGGAAATACGTGTTTATTGTTTGGACAAGGATTGTCTACCCTCCATTTCCGGTGCCTTTCCCGTGCCATCCTATTTTGTGTGGTCACGGTTAAGCCACGTCAATATTTTATATTATTATTTTTATAGATATAATAAGACAAAAATGAATAGTAATATAAAATGTTGACGTGACTTAACTGTGACCACACAAACAGGAGGGCATGAGAAAGGCACCGGAAGCAGGGCCGGCCCAGGCCCAGTGCCACAGGGGCAACTGTCCAGGGCCCCAAAATGAAGAGGGCACCAAAATAAAAAAAAACCCATATAACTAAGTATTAAAAAAAAAAATTCACAGTCCAAATAGGGGTTGGCAAGAGCCCAAAAGGCAACAAAAGGGCCCAGAAAGACCCAGCCACAGATTAGAAGAAAAAAAAAAAAAAAAAAAAAAAAACATAACAAAACATATCAGGGACAGTGGTCCCAATCAAACCCTAATCACTAATATACTACAACCTTTCCCGATTCCCCACCCTTTCCCGATTCCCCACCCACCCACCCACCTCCCTTTTGTTCCCTACATCCCTCACTTTGCCTTCCCTGCCCCTTATTTTTCTTTCTCTGAATCATTATTTTTCTTTCTCTTGAATCATTGGAGCTTTGCTCTGCCATCCCAAGCCATCCCAACTTCTTTGCTACAAGCTTTAATGGTTGCTCCAAACTCTCAAGCGCAAAGACAAAATTAGTTTTGACGTAAATTTTTAAAATTTTAATTCTTAATTTATAATTTAATATAAAATTTTGCAATGCAAGTGATATAGAATTATATGATAAATTGATAATTGATGTATAGAATTATTGTTGTTGATGAATGATGAATTGAATTCTTGACTAATTGATTATTGAATTATTTGATTTCATTTCAAACCCAATTTTAGGTTCAATTTTTATAATATGTTTGACTATGTGTTAGTGTTTTTATAATATATAATGTGTTGGAATGATAATTTTGATAGGAAAATTTTGTTATATCATGTGTAGGTAATTTTTGCAAACAAATTATCGAAGCCATGTCTTTTAGGAAACAACTCTCTGGTAATATGAAAAGAAAAAAAAAGGCAAAGGATAACGAAATTGCCGAAAGTTTAAGAGGATCTCTTAATAAATTTTTCTCTACAAATAATGAGTCAGTTGAAAATTTGAGAGAAAATAATGTTGGTGAAGAGCCACAAAATGTTATTGGGGAGTCTCATGATCATGAAAATGGTAGTGATTTAGAAGAAAATGTTGGTGATGAGTCTCAAGACCATGAAAATGGTGGTGATGTGGATTTAAATGTTGATGATGATCATATTGGTGTAGAGGAAAATATTGAATCTCCTGAACCTATTTTCCATATAAACATTTATGATCCAAGAGTTTGGGATGGTCTTAATGCAGAAATGAGAGACTTGCTTGTAGAAAATGGGTCAATTCGAGAAACTAATCTCACTTATCCTAAGGACAAACTCTCTAGAAAATTTTCCTCACACTACTATGATCGAAAATTACCAACGGGTGAAATTTATGATAGGAAATGGCTCGTGTACTCAAAAAGAGTTGGATAAAGTCTTTTGCTTTTGTTGTAAATTGTTTAAAACAATTGCCTCAAAAAGTGAGTTAGCAAAAGATGGAATTAGTTATTGGAGACATCTTGGTGTGAAGCTTGACCAACATGAAAAGAGTAAAGAACATCTTACTAATTTGAGAACTTGGGTTGAGTTGAAAAGTAGATTGACAACAAATCAGACAATTGATAAAGAATTTCAAATGCGAATCAAGAAAGAGACAAATCATTGGAAACAAGTGATGCTTAGAATTATTGCTGTTGTGAAATGTCTTGCTATACGTAATTTAGCAATTTCGTGGAACAAATGAAAGACCTTATGAAGACTGTAATGGAAACTTCTTAGGTTTACTTGAAATGATTGCGGAGTTTGATCCAATAATGCAAAAACATTTTCGACTCATTGAGAATAAAGAGATTCATCACCACTATTTGAGTCATAAAATTCAAAATGAGTTGATAGCTACTTTAGCTTCAAAAGTCAAAACCGCAATCATTAAAAAGGTAAAAAAAGCCAAATTTTTTTCTGTCATTCTTGATTGTACTCCTGATGCAAGTCATGTGGAACAAATGACTTTAATTTTGAGATGTGTTGACTTGTCAAGTAGGTCAATAAATATAAGGGAGTATTTCATGGAGTTTTTAAGTGTGGAAGATACATCAGGACAAGGACTTTTTAATGAGTTGCAAGATGTCCTAAAGTCTCTTGATCTTGATATTGATAATGTGAGGGGACAAGGTTATGATAATGGATCTAACATGAGAGGGAAACACCAAGGTGTCCAAAAAAGATTGCTAGACATAAATCCCAGAGCATTTTACATGCCATGTGGTTCTCATTGTCTTAATTTAATAGTTTGTGATATGGCAAGTTCATGTCTTAAAGCAAAATCTTTTTTTGGAGCATGTCAATGCATATATACGGTGTTTTCCAACTCTACAAAGCGTTGGAATATTTTGCTTGAACATATTGATGGTTTAACTTTGAAGTCATTGTCAACTACTCGATGGGAAAGTCACATTGAAAGTGTTAAAGCAATTAAATCCCAAGTAGCCCAAGTTAGAAACGCTTTGTTTACGTTGGTGGAAATTACTGAGAATCCCCAATTGAGTAGGGATGCAGAATGTTTAGCATCAGGAGAACTTTCCAGTTTTGATTTTGTATTAAGTTTGGTTATTTGGTATGACATTTTGTTGAAGATTAACATGGTGAGCAAAAAATTACAATCTGAAGACATGCGTCTTGATGTTGCTGTAAAGGCTTTGGAAGCACTTGTTACATTTTTTGAAAACTACAGAGAAACTGGTTTTGCTTCTGCCATGCGTGATGCTAAAGAAATTGCACTTGAATCGGAAATTGACCCTGTTTTTCAAACTAAACGTCATAGACCTAGAAAAAGACATCATGATGAAATTGATGGTAATGAGAGGGAACAACAGTCTGCTGAAGAATCATTTAGAACAGATTATTTTCTTGTTATAGTGGATATTGCTCTTTCTCAACTGAAACACAGGTTTGAACAGTTAAAGGCTTTTGAATATATTTTTGGCTTCTTGTTTGATGCACCGAAGTTGATTTCATTGGATGATCAACAACTAAAAGAAAATTGTATGAATCTTGAAGCACATTTGAAACATGGAAATACCATGGATGTAGATGGAGCCGACTTATGTTCCGAGTTACAGGTGTTGCAAATGATGTTACCTGAAGAAGCATTTTTCTCTAATAACCCTTGGACAACCATGGAAATAGCAAACTTTGTAAAAGAAACTGACATGTGTCCTAATGTCTTGATTGCTTATCGTGTACTGATGACTGTACCTGTGACCGTGGCATCTGCAGACAGAAGTTTTTCAAAATTGAAATTATTAAAATCTTACTTGCGGACCACTATGACTCAAGATAGGCTAAATGGATTAGCAATCTTATGCATTGAAAAGGATGAGATTGAAGACTTGGAGTATGATGATATAATTGATGATTTTGCTTCAAAAAATGCCAGAAGACAATTTCTTAAAGGTTGAAATTTCAAGGAGTTTTGCTAGGAATGGTTGTATATGATTGTATTTTTGATTGTCGGGGTTTAGGTATTATGTCCCCCCCGTTGTATATTTTCTCAAGTAATATAATTTGGGCGTGAGGGCCTAGCCCCCCAGCTTTGACTGGGTTCCAGCCCTCGTTAAATATTTTTTTTAAACATATGTTTCCGTATTAAAAAAGGCCACATTTTAAGCTTTCGCACTGGGCACCCAAAAACACAGGACTGGCCCTGACCGGAAGTGGAGGGCAGACAATTCTTGTCCTGTTTGTTTTCCTATTCTTAATCTTGTGTTGCTCATCTGCTTCTCAGATATGGACATTTTCTTTTCTCATTTTGGCGAAACTCGTGTTTTCTCGCTTGAATCTAGACTCTAGAAACCCCAAAAATCTTAGATGGATGGTTCAATTTCTGAAGAACTCTGTCGCTTTGAATTCGAAACACATGTTTACGTTTTGGGTTTAGTGTTCTTTTGGGTCAGTCATAAATAGACTAAAAAATAAAATAAAAAGCATAATGATAGGTACTAAGAGCATCTTCAATGGAAGTCCTCCATCACTTTTGAGGACTCATTTAGGAACTTTAAGAGAATATTCGAGTCCAATATTGTCTTCAATAGAAAGTCCTTACAGTATAATCTCTAAATGTTGGGACTAAAAAATTAAATAAATCATTATTAATTTGGTTAGAGTATGGTGGCCATGATCTAAACAAACACATTAATTACTAAATCATGAGGTTGGGTTAGGTAGTATTTGATATTATGTCCTTTATAAGTATGAAAACAAACTCTATTATTAAGTCCTTTATATAGGCATTATCATGCCTTCGCATGAATGAATCAATATGCCTCGTAAATTAATTTTCCAACATAAACTCGTTCCATAAAGCCCTTTGAAAGAAAACTGATTTCCTGCAATTAATTTCCATTCATTTAATAAAAATTGAATTAAATATCAAACTCTAAATTTAATCTTGTTATTAGTTTTCCAGCATACATAAACTTGTCACACATGAGCCTTTCTCCAAACAAAAGATCTTCAAAATTAGATGCTCAACATCAAACCTAGAATCTACATATCATACGCCAAAAATAAATAAACAAAGCCCTTCTATAATAAACAAAGCCCTTCTACAATATTGATAAGGTACCTAATCTCAAAGTACTAAAAACCAGCAAAGATGGACTAATTAGTATATGTCGTGTTTGAATGGAGCTCCTAATCGAACAAATTGAAAAGTCCCTCGTCATCACTTTCTTCCTTGGGTTCTTCCTTCTTCTCCTCTGGTGGAGGAGCAGCAGCAGCAGCTGGGGCGGCAGCCGTGCCGACACCTGGGGCAGCAGCGGCTACTGCACTAGCGCCGCCACCAACGCCAACATTCAGGATAAGATCGTCAATGTCTCTCTTCTCAGCAAGCTTGGCGAACAAGCCAGGCCAGTAAGACTCAACAGAGACATTGGCAGCTTTTGCTAATGTTGTAATCTTCTCAGCAGTGATTGGGATGCCTTCGTCATGGAGGATTAGAATGGCGTAACTGCAAGCAAGCTCTGAAGCCGACATCGGTTTTTACTGAAATGAGGGAGAAGAGATATCTGAGATTGAGGGGTCTCTTCTAGGGTTGTCACGCTAAATCTCTATTGAACTGCAAATGCATGTATTTATAGATGGAGATCAAAGCTTTGAAGGTTTAGGGATTTTTTTTTTTTTATTGTTAAACATTGTTAAAGATTGCCGTTTTTTACTTTGCTGGTTATTAATTGTTGAATAAGTTGTTGTCCTTTTCTTATGGGACTTCGTTATTTGTTACCAAGTCTGTAGGAATACCCATTATTTGTGTAATCTGTTAGTCACCGAACAAGTTTGTTTGTTTGTTTGTCTGTTTTTTTATTTTTTGTCAAAGGATAACTTTGATTAAATTCTAATAGAACCGTCTTCAACAAGAATATTAGATAAAAATTTCAAAACAAGAGTATCTCAATGGAAAATATCTCCATGTGAAGCAACATATGAGGCTACAGCATGAGCAGCGGCATTTTCATTCCGCTTGGCAAACACAAACCTCACCCCTCCTAATTGAGACGCCAAGTGACCAATGTCATGGATAAAACACTCCAAAGTAGCCTCTATAGCATACCCCCATTAATCATACTAATTATCACCTGAGAATTAGACTCAATATCCACTGCATCACAACCCATCTTGATACATACCATTAACACTGCTCGAATCACACTAATTAAAAACCAATAAGCCTCCAATGTTCTTTAATTTTTTTATCAAAGTCCTGGATATGCCTCAAAAAATTTGTATCATTTGGTTTGTAAATTTGATTTAAAGAATTGGTCTCCCTAGTCAAAAAAATTGGTTTAAAGATTTGGTTTACGTTTTTGTTTATGCTGTTTCAACCAGTCAAATATTATCTATTTTTGATAGAGGAGGATAGCTCTTTGTGTTCGGGGCATTGATCCGAAACTCCGAAGGAAGGGATCATTCCACCAGAAACCCCTGATCTCCCTTCTTTACCAAATTTTATTTAAGGAAATAAAAGATAGTCGGTGAACTAAGTTAAAAAGCCAAATCTCGACCACCCAAATACTAGGTCCGTAGACTACTAATAAGCACATACCGCATATCCATAAGAAGCTAACAAATCCCAAACCCGGCTACCTTCTTTACATATACGTGTGCGAATAAAATGTGTTTTTATCGTACAGCCAAAATTTAGTCTCTACTTTAAAAATATCAATTTTTATGATATCTTTCAAATACAGCAAAAAATCAGTTTGAACAGATCTAAATATCCTTATAATAAAACCAATTTACAAAAGCTAAAACATGTTTGATCTTCTACGTTTGTTCAAAGATGGAGACTGGATTTAAACAAAATGAAAATAGACAGAGACTGTAGAGGCTTCGCCTCTACAAGTTTCGTGGGTAATTACTTGAGTTAATTGGATAACAATTAAAAGAGGATTAACGTCTATAATTTTTTCGGTTCCATATAATTTTCTTTTTTTTTGGTTTCATACAGTTATGAGTTCATATATATTGGCGTCAGTTTCTTGCAATTAGGTTTTAACTTTTAAGATATACTAGGTCTTTTTTTTTGAGTAAAAATCCGTCTTTTCAATTTGATTGTTATATTTCAGCTTGGTTTCCTTAGTTTTATGTTCTAATTTCTTTTCTTTTATTGCTATTTCGTTATTGAATTTCAATTTTTGTTGAGGGAATCATAGTGGTTGTTTGGCCTTAGGTTCTACAGTATAATAAAGTATTATTATTTTGTAAAATTGTTTAACCCAAAAGGATGGAAGTTCCCATCAGGCTACCTACAAATTAGGAAGAAACCGAATTAGGTTTTGGTGTGTATGTTTAAAGTTGTTGAAATAGGGCTCGGCTTGAAGACTTTGTTTATTACACAAGGAAGAAGATGAAGAAAGGATGGTGAGGGAGCATCCCAATAACAAGAGTTTTAATTTTATGGGTATTTAGGTTAATTCAATTAGATCTTTGGCTATATTTGAAAGAATTTGTAAAAATTGACATTTGTGAATTTAGATGGTAAATTTTGGTTAGAATTGATAAAAACTCAAATAAAATCATTAGAAAACTAGATTTTAATCCCTATATAAGATGAAGTTTAGAAAAATGTCTTATACAAGATTAAAAATTGATTTTAGTCCCTAGACTCTATTTAATGCCATCATATGTATTCAATGTCTCTTTTTTTCTTTTTTTTTTATTATAATTTTATGAATTTAAATTTTATAAAAATATTATAAATTTTAATTCTCATTATGGTAAGCGTCTTAATTATATAAGAAAATATTTTCGTAGAGATTTTTCAGTACACTTATATTTTTGCATATTTTCTTACAAATTCATTACAATATATTTAGGTACGAACATTTCGGTACACTGGATTAGTATAATATGTAAAGGTACGGATATTTCGGTACCCTAGTTTAGTATAATATATTTAGGTACCGACATTTCAGTACACTAGTTTAGTATCATATAGTTAGGTACGGAATTTTCAGTTCACTTATGTTTTTACATATTTTCTTATGTGTCACTAATTCACTATAATATATTTAGGTATACCGACATTTTGTGACAGACCCCGACCCTGTATGTCCACAAGGACTCTAAATCGAGCTGTGCTGGCCGACACCTGGAAGGTGACGAAGCCATAAAGTGTAAAGATGTGGAAAAATATGAATAAATTTGAACCTAAGAGTGCCTAAATACCAGAGTGCGCTGGTAAGCGGGAATGAACCCACTTCACACGTGACGTCAGAGCATAAACAAAGTACAGTAGAGTGGATTGAAAATCATACCATTGAAGGTAATCTCCAATACCAAGACTTGCCAGAAATCCTCGTTGATACGAAAACTCTACTACTAGACCTGGAGGGATAAAACAAGAATGAGGTCAGAAAATAAAGCTTTAATAAAAGTCTTCTCAACAAATAAATCCCTCACCGTAACACCTGTTTAGCTTCCAGAAAATCATACCACGGATAAACACGAAATCAAAAGTATACTAGCATTACATCCAGAAGTATACCACATCACATCATCTCATTAGCAATATAAATAATCAAGTGCTTAACAACCCATACTAGCACGCTAGTCGGAGTCACCTGTGGTGATCTGTACGACTACAATTATATCTCATCAACCAATGCTACCTAATAAGTCAGAGTCATCTATAGTGACCTGTACGACTATTCAAATCTCATCACATATGCTAGCTCACCATATATCTCATCACATATGCTAGCTTATCACATATTTCATCACATATGCTAGCTCATAAGTCGGAGTCACCTCTAGTGACCTGTACGACGTATCCATAGCTCAATAAGTATACATGCACACGAGTCAGAACCACTTAAAGTGGTTGGTATGATAGGACTAGGTGTAATTAAATACGCTCAAGTGCTACAATCACGTGAAGATTACGCGAATAATTGCGGGTCACCTACGAGTCGAAACCACATATAGTAGTCTGTACGACAGGATTGTGCACCTACCTTGGATTCAAGGTGAGCGTAAGGTGTGGGAGGTGAACATCACGTGAAAGACTGTGCCCTGGCCACGGGCGGGAGCACTAACACCGGGGTGCAGGTTTATGAGCTCTAAATGCATCTCATATGACATATACAACTCATAGGCAACCTGTACGACAATGTTGGAGTTGCCTAAAACATAATATAGTCATGCCATCACTTGATCATTTCAACTAATATCATAAACTCAATTGAACTTACCTGGGTGTCCTGCGTTCGCCTTTGCATTTCAAAGCATTTACAATAATTATGTGCAGGTAATATACATATAGATAAACCATGATACAATCTAATACTCAACCATGTTATAGCATTTTTCCAATATATACATATATATATATAATGTGGCGTAAAATGCACAATCGATAACGCCCTACTACCGAATTATTTATTTTTGGAAATAATTGTCAGGGATAAGTCCAACTAAACACTAGTTTAATTAACTATCATTACTTACGTTTCCTTATTTCAATTTCTTGATTCCTTCCACATTGATTTATGACCAACATCCAATCACTAAAAACATAAGGTTAAATCTCATATTTTCACCAATTTCCTTCACTTTACTCAATTCCCAAACAAGGTTTTTGTTTCAATTATTGTATGGCTGCATCTAACGTCTCGTTAGACTGCCTACATACCCTAAACAGGGATCAAGCCATTCGTAGTTCAAAATAGTACTTCAAAGCATTCACAGTAATTATACGCAATAAGCAATTTATAAACATTGTGGAATAGTCAATCACACATATATATATATATATAATATACAATAAAAAGGAAAAGCCCCATTTACTTGAGGTCCACGCCACGACTCTCTAGCATGCACATCGAGACATCACGAACCATCATCGCCTATGACCAATTATCAAATCATATCTCAGAGTTTGTACCGATAAAATACACAATTTACATAAAACACATCTCTACGTAATTTAATTTGAAAAATCTGTATCACAGATTTCAATCTGTTGCTTCCAAAGATACACATTATACTTCTAGAACAACATCCTAAAATCTCATTACGATCCAACGGTCGGATCTCCGCCAATTGCCAAAACTAAGTGGCGGTTAACCTTTTATTTCATGAACTTACAAATCCAATTCGGGAAGATCCGTTTATCGGATTCTTGATCTGTAAGTTCCTATGGTCTTCAAATATTACGTACTATAACATATTAAAGTTTGGTGACGATCCAACGGTCGGATTGTTGATTTATATGTTTACCAAGTAACATATCATAAAGAATTTAGGTTCAAACGATCAACCAATGTCATACTAACACCAAAAATGAACTCAAGACATCTAATTTAGCCTAAAAATAGCATCGACGACCCCTTGGCCACGCGCCGCCTTGGGTGGCGGTCGGCCACCCAGACTTGCTGGAAAAATCAACTATTTCTAAAAATTCTCAAACTTCACAGAAATGAGTATCTCATTAAGTGGAACAACTTTTATACCTGCCATGAAGTCCAAAAGTGGACAGAAGATGGTCAATTTTTCCCACAAAGCCGGCGGGTGCCTAAAGCTTCCCGATGTCGATTTGTCGTCTACGATGGTCAAACGGAGTCAAGGTTGGTTGGGTTTTTCTCCTGGGATGATGGACTACAACGCTCAAGTGGTGGCATCGGCCATCACTTTGCCGATTAGTCGAAAATTTGAAAAAGGTGGCCGGAGTACTATTGATTTTCGTCAACTTTCGTGGCCTCAAACTGCCACATACCGTGGTTAATCAAGGTGGTTCTTGGGTGGGTTTTGTAGAGGAGAATGAGAGCTTCAAGATGGTGGTGGTGGCGTCGAAAATCTCCACCGAAGTTGGCCGGAATCGGCCTTGGAAAATGGGAGCTCGTGGTGGGTGTGGTCGACGGGAAGGCTACTTTCCCTTTTTTTTTTTTTTCCTTCTTTTTTTCCTGATTTCTGATTGGGCTTCTGCCCTTTTTTTACCTTTTATCTAATTGGTTCTCCTTAACCAATTAACTCACTTTAAATAATCAACTTCAAACGTTCGTAACTATACCGTTATAATTCGGATTCGCAAATGGGTTTCGCCTATGCATTCGTACCAACGAGTACTACTTAAAAACGCCAAAAGAATAAGTCACACATTCCTCTAGACGATGGTCAACATAAATCAAAATCCTTGCCTCTAGGCATTTTCGTCAATTCCCTCGATTAAAATAAATAAAAAACAAAATTTTAGGGACGGGTTGTCACATTTCGGTACACTAGTTTAGTAAAATATATTATGATATGGACGTTTAGGTACACTAATTTCAGAAGGTTAAATAAAATTAGTAAATAAAAATGTGTAGAATAATAAATTTAAAATTTAATGTAACAACATTAAATAAGTTATCTATTAAATATAAAAACAAAAATATAATATGAATTTCTAACACCAGGATTTTATTAAATTTTAATCTTCTTGAAGGATTAAAGTTCAAAAACCCCTAAAATCATCAACAATTATTCTAATTATTTAGCACCAACTAAGGCAGCGCTTTGTATAAATGGTGAACAACCAACGTGGAATTGGTTATTTTCAATCCAAATGTGTTCCCATCGCGGACCCAAGCTACACGAACCGCCTCAATAAAAGCTAGAATTTTTGCAGACGCCAAACTCACAAACTCTAATAGAAGCAAAAACACCAAGGACTTGTGCCGCAGTTGTATGAAACATCCCCTCCAAACCCGCTCCACCATTAGACATGAACCATATATGTTTAATTACCTAAATCCGTCCAGACATTGACAAATTCCAATAAACTGGAATAAAAGAAGGAAACGTAACAACAAGCGAAGAAATGCGAATCGAATAAACGGTCAATTAATAACAAAGATTTGTTGAATCAATTTCAGTTGTGTCTTCCTCTTCTTTCCTTTCTCGTTGACTCAGGTAAGGGCAAAAGTACGTAGGCGAAATCGAGATATGATGAGCAAAAATTTAAGAATTAACCTTGATTTCCTTTCATATTTATGCTCATGACATGAAATCATCCCATTATTTTCTCTCATCAATGCAAATTATATAATTCCTAACAAGATTTTTTTTAACAACTTATCACGCCACTTATTTAGTTCTTCATTATATATTTATATTGACCAAAAAAGAACAACAATTTGTCCATATAGCAATACGTATCATAAGCAAAAAGGAAATTATGAAAGCCCTACTACAATATTCATCATTAGGTAACTAATCTCAAACTAAGTAGTAAAAACCAGCAAACTAATTGAAAATTGGACGTCAATGTCTTGTTTCAAAGGAGATCCTAAGTGAACAAATCGAAAATTGGACAGTCGTCGTCACTCTCTTCCTCGGGTTCTTCCTTCTTCTTCTTATCCTCTGGTGGAGGAGCAGCAGCAGGGGCGGCAGCTTCGGCAACACCTGGGGCAGCTACAGAAACTGCACCGCCAGAGCCAACATTCAGGACAAGATCTTCAATGTTTCTCTTCTCGGCAAGTTTGGCGAAGAGGCTGGGCCAGTAAGAGTCGACAGGGACGTTAGCGGCTTTCACCAAGGTTGCAATCTTCTCGGCAGTGACGGGGATGCCTTCGTCATGGAGGATCAGTGTGGCGTAGGTGCAAGCAAGCTCTGAAGCCGACATCGTTTTTCTACCGAATTGAGGGAGACGAGGTATCGGAGATTGAGGGCTCTCTTTTTCTAGGGTTTTCTATTGAACCGCAAAAGCATGCATTTATAGGTCGAGATTCTAGGTAGGGTTTGGCGGTTTAGGGATGTATTCCTAATCCTACGAGGACATTGAGAGAAAATCCAGCCGTTGATTTTTGAGGAGAAAACCTTGCCGTTGATTTTTGAGGAAATATATTATATATTTGATTATAATTATTATAACGGTTATACGTTTATTAATTACATTATTGATTTTAATTTATATTCGCTCTTTGATAAATTTTCACGGGAAAATTGCTAGTTTGCAGTTAAAAAAAAGGAAAAAGGAAATCAATTAAAGTTTCTTGCAGGGAAAGAAATCCAAATCGGGCTAGTTGGGTTGCTTGCAAGCAAAGTCAAAGTGACTTGGATTGCAAGCAAATAAACTTCAACTTTATGAGAGAACACACGAAGAACCAAAGGAGAAAGAAGTGTAGCATGGATATTCAAAGTTCCAAAACGAATGAGAGAATTTGTGAATCAGCTGAAGCAAGAATAATAGAGCAAAAGATTAAAATAAATCAAGGCGATAAGCATCTCGTTTTAGATCGTCAGGTAGAATTAGAGACTAAACAACAGGGGTTAGTTTGTTTGTTTATGTGCCTTGGAGATAATTGAAAGTTATAAGTTTTGGGGATTTTCTAGTAACGCTTCGGCTTATAGTACATCGAGAGATTCTTAACTGCTGAATCCTTATTCATTGGACCTTTTAAGCCACACCTAAACATCCATTGTTTGATGCATGGCCCGCTAAGTTAAGCGACAAGAGATATAACTCCCAGCTCAGCCCAAATTGAAGAAACTTAATGCATGGACTTTAGCGAGAAAGAGCCTGCAAATGCGATGCACAAAGAGGGACAATTTTTTTTAAAAGGAAAACTAATGAAAAGGGTTTGAAAACTTTGAGTTTTAACGATAAGGACTAAATAAAGAGTAAAGTGAATAGTATCATGTTTGACTTTTTAGTGTAAAAATGTGGTTTTTCATTAAAGTGAACAGTATTGCGGACTTTTTGTTAAAACTCCCTTTTTAAAATGGTGTGTGAAGTGCAATTGCTCATCTTCTGTCCCACATTCTTTTCATTCTTCATAGTTCTTACCTTTTTTTCTTCTTCAAACGATATTATCAATAGTAAGAGGTGGATGAGTGAGCTAAACCTCATAATGGGCTAGCAATAATGTGGTTAAATTCTTATTTGATGAGAATTAAATCTAAGACCTCTCACTTTCAAGTGAAAAAAAATATCACTAAACCGTAGTACTAAATATTAATTCTTACTTCTTTTGACACTTGTTTTCTTTTTTTTTGGTCAAATTCGACATTTGCTTCAGACTTGGTAAAACCTGTGATTTGATAAACTGGCCAAATTATTGTAGAAAGATCATTACTAAGGGGGTAGTCAAATTAGGTTTTGATAGGATTTTAATAGACTTTAAATATGGGTGTAGTCGATTATAGTTTAAAAAAGAGAATTTTAAAAGATTATGTAATCATGGTGTAGTCAAATTAGGATTTAAGAGGATTTTGAAGAATACACCCATATCAAGGGGTATTCGATTAAGAGTGTAAAGAATACATTCAAATCTAGGCATAGTGAGAATGTCAAATATTTATTAGGATTTTAATGGCCGAGGGGTTTTGAGGGATTTGAGAGTGGGTGATATAAATACAAAGTGCCATCAAGAATCCAACCCTACCCCATGTGATTTCTTTTCACTTTCATCACAGAAGTGAAACAATCTTCCTCTCACACGTCTTCCTTTATCCCCTCATGGTATTGCTTTGCTCTTCCCAACTCGTATAATTCTTGGTTGATTTGTTTCATAGATAACCGCTACATGTGTACTTATCAATTACTACCTTATTTCCTTCTCATACATATATATCTATACGTATAAAATCACATATCCCTAGCTTCTCCGAATTCATGCTTTTTGTGTTGATTATTTTTCAATTGTATTGTTTTTCTGTTTGATAGCAATGAAAAGAGAAAACCTAAGAGCAGTTCCATTGGGGAACTGATAGGCTGGCACCCAGCCAAAATAATGGCCCGGCACCCGGGTTTTTCACTCTAGCCCAGTAGATAGGCTGGCACCCAGCCCAAGCTGGTCTCCAGGCCAGCCCAAAATCAACTGAGCAATCAGACGGCTCAATTGACGTCATCTCACACTTACACCCTCAACCTCTTCGCTGCACCAACCTTATCGCCCACTACGCCCCTCTGGGCTCCCCCTCTCACGCTTACACCATTTTCTCCACCATCTCCTCCGCCTCCGATGTCTTCCTCTGGAATGTCATGATCAGAGGCTTCGTCGACAATGGGCTGTATAACAAAGCTATTGCTCTGTACAGTGGTGTCAGACCTGATCATTTTACTTTCCCTTTTGTGATTAAGGCTTGTGGGTTTGCTCGTGATTGGAGATTGGGTAAGAAGGTTCATGGAGATGTGATTGAATGTAGGTATGCATTAGATGTGTTTGTAGGTAATTCACTTATTGGATTGTATGGGAAATTTGGGCAGGTTGAAACTGCACGGTAGGGGTGGAAATTTGGGCAGGTAATTCACCTAAAGCGCACCCATCCCCACCCTGAACCAACGCATACCATTGCAACACCTCCCAGACTGCCAATACCCATCACCAACCCACCCCAAAAATTCTACCCAACAAACGCAGTTCCAAATCCGAATGGAGAGAGAGAGGGAGAGAGAGAGAGAGAGAGATGCAGAAGGAGGTTGACTCGTCGGGAGTGGCAAGAGTTGGCGTTTTGGGATGATCGGAGAAACAAATTGAGGAGGATGTAGAGGGAGAGAATAGAGGGTTCTAGTGAAACCGTGGGCTTCCAGACTTACCTTCTTTTTTTTAATAAAATTATTATTTTTATTATTTTATAATAAAAATTAATAAAATTGACTAGGTAATTTTTTATTAGGAATAGAAATGCATTTGGTCTATACATTGGAATCTATCACTATTCACTATTCACTTAGTGGATTAAATAGGCTGAGTGCTGACGCATTTTTTTAGGGATGGACTTGTTCTAACACGCAATAGATTAGCTAATATGCATGCTTTTTTAACCAGCCAAGAGGAACTTTGGATATTTTACTCCAAATAATTGAAAGGGGATTGGATAAATTTGATGGGTTTTTATTATTTCTTAAATATCTGTGGTATGTGAGAATTCAAGAATTGTTCTTTTTTATTAGAAGTATATTTGGGTTTAGTTCTTAATCTGTGTTCAGTTCTCCATTGTCATTTTTTGGTTAATTAAGGCACTTTGCTCCTTTATTAATGCATTGCATATTGTATGGTTCAAATGGTTTTTGTTAAGTATGTCTTGAATTGATTTTGTTACTGCTACTGCTTCCATCATACTAGTAATTAGAAATGGGAGACAAACAACAAGAAATTGGAAAAGTGAAGGCCAAGAGTGATGATAGCGCTTGGACTTTGGAAGAGAGCAAAGTGCTGTTACAATAGCTCGTTGAAGCTACATTAAGTGGATGGCGTGATGCTAATGGCTTGCTAACCAAAGATATTGTGATGACAAGAATACTTCCGGCACTTAATGAAAGACTAAAGTGTAATAAAACTTATAAGCATTGCACAAGTCGAATGAGATATTTTAAGAAAGAATATGAAAAGTATAGTCAGCTTATGAGAAGCAACTCTGGCTTTGGGTGGGATGCAAACACAAAGAGATTTGTTGCTGATGACGAAGTTTGGGAAGAATACTTTAGAGTGAGCTTCTTGGCTTTTATTTAAAATAGTATATGTAACTTGAGTGTATACTTATAGTTTATTGAACAATTGTGATTTTCTTGTTTATTTTATAGGCCCACCCAGACCAAAGAAGCATTCGTAAAAAATCTTGTGATGACTTTGAAGATTTGCAAATAGTACTTGGGGATGCAACTGCTACTGGAAAACACTCATTGGGATTGGGTGAGGAAACTGATGCAAGAACTTTTGTAGTGGAAGATAGACAAGGTGGAATAGAGGAAGATGAATAGGTTGGAATAGAGAACTTGTTTTACGATGAGGAAAATGGAGGCTTTGTACTAAATCAAAACCAAGCATCACACCAAACTTCATCATTTGATCAATTATCCTCATTCTTACCCACTCAGGCAACTAGCTCAAGGATTCCCCCATCAATCGAAACAGAACCCAATACCAAGGGAATACTAGATCATCTGAGACCACTAATCAAGCTAGAATTAGGAAAAATATTTCACTTACTCTCGGTTCAATTGCCACCGACTTCCGAGGAGTTCATAGTCTGTTGGAGAAAAGGGATAAGGATAGAGAAAGACAAAATTCTATATGGGATGCCATCAAGGAAACCCCAAATTTGGATGAACCTGCTCGCTATTAACCGGTCGCTTTGCTCGATACTAAAACCAGAAAGGATGCATTTATGAAGATGTCATCGGAAGAGCGGTCAAATTGGATATGCTATAATTTGAAATGATATGTGATTGGACTCATGATACATTAGTTTTTATTTGTTTGTTTTATTTTGGATTATGTTTAATTGGCTTATTCATACTTTTTGTTAATTGGATTATGTTGGATTATGTTTAATGAATGATGTGTTTAATTTAATTAATGATATTATGTGAGAATGTAGGATTTAGCTCTGTTGAATTTTGGTTGTTGTTACAGGAAAAGGTCGGCTTCCCCCAATTGAGGAAATCCGAACTCTACTTGATCGTAGTGTTCATGGAACACTCTCCACTTTTTCTTAGGTTTCTATATCAGTGTTTTTTGTTCTTTTCTTAAATGAATTTGTGTTTCATTGTTTTTTTAATTCTAAATTAGTGGGTGACATTCACCTCTCCCAGACCCTGCGTAAAGCGAGAGCCTTGTGCACTGGGTACGACCTTTTTGGTGGGTGACCTTCTTACACTTTATAGGCAGTAGACTCGTCAATTAGTATTTCTTAGTCTAGTGTGGAGATTATGAGAATGAACTACCAGATAGCAATCCTATTTAGATTAGATGTCTCCCAGTCTATGATTAAGGGTAGGCCTACTAATCATCCCTCAGAAAGGCATATTATTTCATGCATTTGGATGCACTATGTATAAATCCCTCTTTCTTTAACTAGTAATTATGCGAAAGTCTATGATAGAAGTCCATACAAATCCATAAAAATCTATAATGGAAATCCATATAAATCTATCAAAATCCATAGAATTATAAAATCTATTATAATCCTTTAAAATCTGTCACTTAAAAAAAAGTCTATTAAAATCCTCTGAAATCCAAATTGACTACGCCCCTAAAGTCACGGCCAACAAAACAAAAGAAGAAAAAGCTAATTTATAGCTCCTGGAAATTGTATGTATGCAACATCGTACACAGGCGTCTGTATGGTAGAGGACTAATCATTTACTCATTGTTATTTCCTGTAAGTAAATAAGAACACCAAAAACTCAGCTAACTTACATGACAAAGAATTACTAGACAAAATTACATAATGCAGAAACAAAAACTTTTCGAAAAACATGCACTACAAGCAGAACATATGGGTCTATGTTTTGGATTTGAGCCTGGATATTTTCAAGGTGAGTTCTGTGATGAGCTTTCGTGACAGTACCTGCCGCAACTCAATGCAGGAAGGCTCATCCGCTCATCGTTGTCTTCATGCATTAGCTACTGGTGAAATCCTTATTGCTGTGCTGTTATTTGCCCGATGATTGATGTCGTTGTTCATTATGCCACGAGTTTTTCGCAGCTTCGGCAGATGTATCAACAGAATCACCATTACCATCCTTTGGCTTCGAGAAGAAAGGATCCCATTCGTGAGCTCCTACCTCACGTTGTCCCTCCTCCAACAAAGCATACTTCCAACTGTTTTCTTCGATGAAGTTATCATCTGTACGACCCTCGATTATGTCCTTCCTCAACTTTGTAACTTTGTCAATGACGGCCTGTACAGAAACATCAAAGGCATCTCTAAAAATCCCCAACTTTGAGCGGGATCGGCGTATATCAGACTTGGAATAAGGCTTATGACCTCCTCCCTCATTTTCTTCACCTGCTCAGGAGTAATTCGACTAAGTGTTTCCTCTATGCTAACGTTCCTCTTGCGAATATCGTCCTCTGGGATGAACACTGAATACCTTGTATAATCTTTTGGTAAATGCCAAGTATATTGTGTGTATGCCGACCCAGGATGGAAGAAGACAGGTATGCAACCAGCCAACATTGAATCAAAAGCAGATCTTCGTGTGTATGAATCGCCTTGCGGTTGCAGGCAGAAAAGAGATCTCTGAAACATATGCATTATACTGCTTGGAGAATGACACTTGCTTTCCCCAAAATCACATTCCAACAGCTTACCAACCTTTGAACTCCGGCACTGATCAATGATCTTCCCCCTGATTGACTTGGGATTGTCAGGACGGGGGGCACCAGCAAAAGAGAAAAGGAACTCACGCTTTAATCTTCTCATTCGTTCCTGCCAAATGAACACATCAGCATCTTTTGCTGGATGGAAATATGTGGGATATGGAATACCAAAATCATTAGCATTCCACGGGCTTGATTCTACCACAAGCATAGACATATTCTTAGCAGCTGGCAGAAAGAGAAGCTTGTTACCCCAATCCGATTCTTCCTCTGAAAGTCTCCTGAAATCCCAAGTTATCCTTCCTGCAACAAGAAAGTGGTCTTTGCCACCCATAATGCTCCATTCTGGCCTCTTCGTAAGCCAATCAACCAGATCGAGTGAGGCAGCATCCCTCCTTGATATGTTGAAACCCCAAAGGTACCGGGCAATGTCAAACCCAGCATAAAAGGGAACAAAAATAGCAGCAGCAAGAGATGAATCATTTGTCAAACACTCATATTGCTTCATCCGATTGTTAAATATGACATCCACAGCGAACTGATTCGTGGCATACCAACCCGTATCCCCAAACACACCCTCTGCATTCTCAAGTGGAGGCCCAAGCCCAGCATTAGTTGTGAACTTGCACATATTTGTCCAACGGCTTAAACTCCTACATTCCTTTAACATATCCTCATTAAACCTCGAGGGAAGATCATGCACATAAATATACTTCCCACCACATGGATCACTCTTGTTTTCGACAGTTCTCAATGCTCTCATAAATGGATACTTCTCCGCTTCATTGATCTGGTTGTTTTTCGCAGGGGCTACAGGGATAGGTGTTGATTCAGTGCTCTGGCTGTCCCTCTGAAGATCATTAATTACAAGGGTAGGCTTCACTTTGGAGTAAACACGACCAGCTTGTAAATTGAAAGATTCATTCACGGTACTACCTCCCAGCACAACGAAATGGAAGTACAACAACAACATCCAGAAGAACACAGACAAAGAGGCCAAGAAACAAATCCTTGTATTCTGATTCTTTCCTGTCCCCTTCTCCATTGGCTCCACAGGTACACTCGTCGGAGAGCGGCGTCTCATTGGATTCATAATCCACTCAATCAAGCAACCTTCCTATCCGAACCGAAAACCCCGCACCCATAACCATTCACCAATTTCCCACAAAAACCCAAATCCCAAATCAACTCAATCAATCACCAAATTCCCACAAAAACCCAAATCCCAAATCAACTCAATCAATCACCAATTTCCTACAAAAACCCAAATCCCAAATCAACTCAATGAATCACCAATTTCACACAAAAACCCAAATCTCAAATCTCAATACTTACACCAACAAAGAATATAGCAAAACAAAAACCCTAACCCTAATTTCAACACAAGTAACTCTAGAGCTTATATTTTGAGCTACAAAATGCAAAGCAGAGAACTTTTTTTTCAGCTGAAAGATAGAGGGTTTGAGGAACAAGAATACAGTACACAGATGCAACCTTAACAAACTGAAATCGAACAAATCTAGGGACAAACCAGTTCTCCAGTCAACGACTCAGAAGAAGAAATGACTGAGTTGGTTCCGCCAGTTGCGCCTGCTTCGGAGCTGAACATAAAAAATACAGAAATTTACAGTCTGTTAACAGCTAAAAATACAGAAAATTAGCAAACTTTAGAACCTTGAACACGAAAAAAGAGAGAGGAGCGAATCGAAAGAAGGAAGACAGAGACACTTACAGAGGTTTCGATTTGCCGAGAAAGTTCGAGAATTTTTATATTTTGTGCTGAGATTTAGACTCCTGGAGAGAGAGGAAAGAGACATGAAAGTGAATATAATATGACTGCGATGCTCGCGCGCGTAGGAGACGAAGGGGGGCGCACGTTAGCAAAGTGAGCCGGCGGTTGTTTCGTGTCGGTAGCCGGTAGGATCTTGCCGCGTGGAATGATGGGAGGACGTGCCTCGTTGAGGAGCGTGATGTCACCCCACTCCCTTAAATTACGTTGCATGAAAGTTGAAAATCCCACTCATTTCCTTTTGTGACCGAAAAATAAATTAAAAAATTCCCACTATTTTCTCTCCAAACAAAATCCCACTCTCTTTTTGTCCATAGTCCAACTCGTATTTGAAAGTATCACATAATATTACAGTTTAGGAATATTTTTAATAAGAGAAATTAGGTTTTCGTTTCTCTTTTTGCTATTTCATTGATAAAAACATTATTTATTTTTAATTTTTGATCAAGATCCTTGGGTATTAATAACATTATTAATTACTTCAATAATAAAATATTTTTACCTAAAACTATTCATTTAGTGTTAAAAATGTTACAATTAGTATATTTATATTTATAGCTAAATTTTTATCATATATTTTTATTTTTAGTTTGTACACATTTTTAATTTGCAAACCTTTGTTAATTTGTACCACTTTTCTTTTCAATTTTAATTTGTACCCATATATATATATATATACATATTTTGTTTTTTTGCCCATATTTTTTTAAGTTTATTTGTATTTGTGTCTATGTGTTTACCGTCACATGACATTGTATTATTAATCAATGATAGAAAATTACATATGGTATATTTATGTTTTATGGTAAAGTTTGTATCATGTATTTATATTTTTAGTTTGTACCCACTTTTAATTTCCAAGCTTTTTATAAATTTGTAGTATTTTATTTTTAGTATTAATTTGTACTCATGCATTAATTTCTTTTCACGCCCATATTTTTTAAAATTTCATTTGTACTCATAATTTTTTAATCTTTTATTTGTACCCTAATTTATTTATAATGTACCCATTCTTCTTTATTAATGCACCACTTAGTTATATGTGAAATGTACCAATTTTTTTAACACTATGATACATTCTTTTGCCATTTATTATTTCTTATTGTTACATAGTTTTTATCCATTTATTCAATTAAAATGTTTGAATTATTTTTTATTGTCGCCGTTTCTAATAGTTATAACGAGAGATTTTTAATTTATAAGATTATAAATCTCATAAAATATCAAACAATTAATGTCAAAACTATAAAAATATAAACCTTAATTGTAATATAATGAGGTGTACAACAAAGTCAAGGGACTTTGATCAAACTTTGAATACCATTAAGGTTTTAGTCAAAGAGTGTTAGAGACTAGGGACCGCATCCAAAGTATTTATTTTTTATATTTGTAAGTGAGATGTATTAAGTTTGATTATCGCTAAAGACAAATTTGAATCACATTATTGCTAGTTTATTTTGAAGTTTAGCCTATTCCCTTACTTTTTAATGTAAATAATATC